ATCCGAAGAAGTGAGGTTTTTACTCACGAAAGCTTATGCCCAAATAAATCTGTTAAGTCTTTAAGGTGCCACCAGACTCCTTGTTGTTTTTGTAGATACAGACTAACACGGCTACCCCCTGATACTAGATTCACCAGGGTGATTTATAAGCAGGAAGATTAAAATAAGACCTTTTATTAGCTGGATGAGGTGATGTATGTTTTACATAATAGGGCAGTGGTTCCCAAACTGGGGTTCGTGAACTCCTGGGGGTTCGCAAAATGTTATAGGGGGTTCTCGGGGAAAAATTACCTAATGGCGGCCAGAGCTGTCCCTAGGGACCCCGAGCAGCATGGGGCCAGCAGCCCGGAGCCCCAGGACTTCCAAGAGCTAAGCAGATCAAAGCAAGCATGTCTATCACATTGAGGAGATTTAAACTTCAAGACTCCTTATAAGAAATGGAGAGGGAGGTGGATATTTTTTGCTGTTTTTAAAATTAATTTAAAATTAAATAGGCAGCTAGTATTGTTTTTAAAATTATTATGAATAACAAGTTTAAGCTTTGTTGTAACGTGCGTTGTTTGCATGGACTGCTCAAGACCTCACTGCTTGGGTAGGAGGAATTCTTTGAGTTGGCTTCTTAAATGCTGTTTCACATCTGATACTCCTTGATGAAACATAAGCTCCTTGATACAAGCTACGAAAGTGAGATCTGGGAAGAGTGTTGCCATTTTCATAATGTAATAAAAATACTATAATGATAAATAATAAATAGTGTGTAATAAGCATGTCATAAAAACTAATTTTATATTTTCATGATCACTGGAAATTTTTAAATTTATACTCTGGTAAAGGAGAAAATCTCTGGAAATATTCATTTTTAGGAGGGGGTTTCGCGAGACTTGACATTTTAGTGAAAGGGGTTCAGAGGTTGTTAAAGTTCGGGAACCACTGTTCGGGTTACCATATTTCCACAATCACTGGAAATTTTATAATTTATACTCCGGTAAAGGAGAAAATCTCAGGAAATATTCATTTTTAGGAGGGGGTTCGCGAGACTTGACATTTTAGTGAAAGGGGTTCACAGGTTGTTAAAGTTGGGGAACCACTGCACTAGAGGGTCGGGATCAGATACAGAGGGACCTAGACAAATTAGAGGATTGGGCCAAAAAAAACCTGATG